GCTTGTGTCTGCCTACTCCGGGCAGTGAGTTTCACGGGGCAGAAAGTTCGTTTTGAGCCATATTTTCTTTCGCCGAGACTGCTTTTGGTGTAGGATAAAAGCTGACTGCCCAACAAGGCCATTCGGCTCTCCGATGTGACTGCTCAGAGAGTCACATTACTGTTCTGTGTGGTCTGTTTCAGGCTAAGGTTCGTGTGTAGTTAGTTATTGTGAAATGGCTACGGTCTGTGTCTAGATTAACTTGGGGAGGGGGGTGCTGTTCACGCACCCTTGCTGCAAAGACTCTCTCTTCTCTTCGATACCCTCAGTGCTGGTGCGGATTCATGCGCAGTATTGTCTTTGACAGCGTCATAGCTTTTCTCCATTGATCATGATGTTCTTGGTCCCGGTATGAGGATTTGGGTTTGTATTTGCATTTTCTTTTTAAATACTGACTTGCCATCCGTACTGAAGCCGTGACGACTTAGTGCTATGCACATGGCAAGCGTACTTGCTGGAAGCAAAGAGGATGTGCTTGACTAGTGAAGCTAAACTATTGTTTGGTCTTAAGAAGACTTCGAGGGATATTTTTGGCTTACGTTTTGAAGATAACATCCGGGAGATAGTTTCCGAGGTCCATCCAAGTCATTGAAAAGTCTAGCGTTCCCCAAAACTGGAAAGTTTGTCCTCCAGGCCCCCTTAGATCAGGATGCTTTGACAGAAATTCTTCGTCAGAATGTCCAGCATGGTAGCCAGGCACCTGCAGTTTGTGAGGTCTCATGGCAAAGGAGACAACTGTTCCCGAAGGCCATTAGCTACACCTCCCTTCCATTCCTGATTCTCCTCCATCCTCTGTTGCTCTAGATGAACAGAGACAGTTGGCGTGCTGGGAGCGGATGCCTCCAGAAACCTACTTGGAGAAGCCGGGCTTGCTGACCCATGGAGCTCCAGCTGAGCGACTTTGGGCTGGAGCTGAAGGTGAGATGGCTCGCTCTTTGAGCATTTACCAGCGGCACTAAAAGCACTTTGTAACGTTGCCTGAGCAGCTGCGAGGGGCAGCAGCCAAGGGGTCACGTGACTCAGAGACCACGAACCAAAGAGAAGCGGGGAAGAGACTGTCATGACCAAAGAACTGCAACCGGAGCTTTTCTGATCCTGAATTGCCACCTCCAAACTTCCCTGATGCGCCATAGTCTTAAGCATTGTCTGTGAGTTCTGTGTGGACATGGCCATGAACTACCAAGCCCGGTAGGGGAACAGAGACTGCCTTGCAGGGACAGTGGTGTCAGAACTGGTAACGACATTGAAGAGTAGAGGCATGTCTGACCTTGGCCTCAAAGGAATCAGCCTAGGGCTGCTGTTGTATTTGATTCTCCTTCCCCTTAGGGAAGCCAGAGGAGGTCAGAGGCCAAGTAATATGTTTCTCTCAACTAGTACATTTCTTTCAAGTAGCAGGTCCATTTCGTTTAAGTTGTCAAATGTACTGGCATAACGTTGTCCATAATCCCCCAGCCCTTTCAATGTGTGCAGCATCTGCGATGGGGGCTCCTCTCTCATTCTTTAGATTGGCAATTTGTATCTTATCTCTCGTTTTTTTCCCCTTGGTCAGTCTCATTAGAGGTGTATTCCTTTTATTGATCTTCTGGTTTCACTGATTTGGGTTTCATCGATCATCACGAATGGTTTTCCGTTTCATTGACTTCTGCTCCAGTCTTTATGATGCCCTTTCTCCGCATGGTATTGTGGCTATGAGATGCCGCTGAGGTGGTTCCAATGCACAGCAACCATATGACAACAGGATAAAGCACTGTGTGGCCCCCGCAGGGTCCTCAGAAACCACTGCTGTGCCCCAGCCCAGGCTGTACGTTGGCTTTCATTTGTTCTTTCT